TCGTCACATAATGGCATAGAAGTTACAGAAGGTGCAAACAGGGAGGAAAAAGGTGCATTAAGAATAAACAATATATATACAGTATATCCAGGTATATACAGTATACAGATCAATCAACATATTTGTCAGAAACTGACCAGGTCATTGTTTCAGATCAACCAATTTAATTTCGGGGTATCCTAACCACCTCTATTTTATTTGATAGTGACTACAGTATTACCGTCCTTTCATACCAGCCAACTCATCAATGCATGCATAGTTAACACTTTTAAGTAGCAAACAAAACAGCTCTTTACTCTCTGAGTATCGATGCCTGCTCCGTTTTAAATTAAATTTACTTAACCTCTATTCTCTTTCCATTGCAACAGAGTTCAATAAGCAAATAACTTTCCTCTGTGTGTAATCGGATGTCATGGTTAGCCTCCAAATCTTTACAGAATTGATAGAAAGGTGCAATTTTGAATAGGTTACCCCATTTACAGTTTGCAAAAATAGGTTTGAAGCTGTATTTCCTTTATGAAAGAATGTTTTGTTTAGATATTATAATGCAGGTCAAAAACCAACCCTATAATATATGCAAAGCATCATGTTTAATAGGAGCAAGGTGGATTTTCTCCCACTTTTGCTTCGCTGTGAGCAATATTCTACATGCTTAACACACATTGTTATCACTTTAATGCTTTAGTGTTGGTTAAAAAAAAATACAGTGCTGCGGTTTGGACCCAGATATTGACTTTAGACTTTACACCATAAAAACAAAGATATATTTAAAGCCATCATCCAAAACAAAATAAATGCCAAAACCCACTATGATAAATCACCATGGTAATTATCTCTGCTCAGTAACTATCGGCTTCTATGGATGAAGAAACAGTCATCAAACTTGATTTCAGGCTCAATCAGGTCTAAGAGTCCAATAAACCGGTTGTAAAAACAAAACAAAAAAGAAGAAATGCTCTGTGATCTGGACATTTTAAACAGGAAGTGAAGTTAATAGTGTGGTTGTCTGCATTTCATGTATTCAAAACCCTCTGGGACATGTTTGAGTCGGTACAGAGCTGGTTTTGTTAGTTTAATAAAAATAGTCAGAATCTAAACAAATAGTTTGTTGCTTGATTCATGTGTGCAGCAGCCAAAGTAAAAGCCGAGGATTGTGAAAAAAAACCCTCTAACTTTTACAACAAGGATCCTCGTTTCATTTATTTTAAGTTCCAAATTAAACATTTACACTTCCCCCAGTGCAGCAGTGAACATTGTGTCTTCTTATAAATGGCACTGTTTCACATTTCAGCTCTGAGTGGCAACTGAAACATGTGCCACCTAAAATGCTTCCTATCTACCTCTTTATAGAGCATTCAGTGAAATAATTAGAAAATCAAAACTTTAAGCCAATAGTGTTATTGGAATCCAGGACCAGACCTTATAACCTTTGTAACATTAAAAAAATATGGATATTTTGATGGCAAAAATAATGTAATAAATATAATAAGAAACGCCAACTTGCCCGAATATATTAAGAAAAATAGCAAAAGTGCTTCTATAAGAAATTAATAAAAAACACTCTGAGAGGGAAAGAAAAACTTTTTTGGGTACAACATAACCTTAGAGGCATTAATGCTGATACTGGCACTTACATTCTTTAGTTTATGAACCTAAATGTAATTGTTAACAGAGATGGGAAGTAACGAAGTACAAATACTTCGTTACTGTACTCAAGTAGATTTTTCTGATATTTTTACTTTACTTTACTACTTATTTTTATGGCGACTTTTTACTTCTACTCCTTACATTTTTACACAAATATCTGTACTTTCTACTCCTTACATTTTAAAAAATTGTCTCGTTACTTTAGTTTTGAATCATTTCAATGGAGTTACCGTTATTATTTTTCACATCATCAATACCAAATTCAATCTAATTGGATGGGAATCTACGTTGCATTTGACGCACCACTACAAGATGAATCGACAGATTCGGCGGTATTCATTCGCGGCAAATCATTGCAGCTTGGTGGCGTTGGCGTTAGCATAGTAGCATGGACGACGAGATGATTGAAAATGAACACAACGGAGATCTAGTCCTATTGGCAGACATCCATTTAAAATGTAGGCAACGGCATGAAAAAAGTGGTTTCTACTTTTACTTTTATACTTTAAGTAAATTTACAAGCCTGTACTTTGTTACTTTTACTTGAGTAAAGAAGTTTAATCAGTACTTCCACTTTTACCAGAGTATTTTCTAACACAAGTATCTGTACTTTTACTCAAGTACGGAAAGTGAGTACTTTTGCCATCTCTGATTGTTAACTAGGATTATTAACTTTTTACTACCTTTTTTCTTGACTTGTTACATTTTTTTAAAACTTAAATTACAGTAGGTAATATATCTTTCAAGGGCTCATCTAATTGGTCAAATGCCAAAATAAGATGTACAGCCAGTATCTTTGCTGAATGGCTAGATATAGATCTTGTGCTTCTAGACCTCACTAAGGGATGGGGGGTGACTCCATTTATAAGGGGTTGGCAGGTGATCAAAAACACTAATTTACCCTATTTACATGTATAACCTGGAAAAGTTCTAATCTCCAAAATGAGTATTTTTAGTTTGTAGGAAACCTAATTGCATTTCTACAGTTCAATAACACCCAGCAAGCTGTTCTGGGGAATCACATTTAGCCCTTTAACTCAACAGCACCTAAACACTGAGGGTATTTGCGGATGTTTTCGATGAGCTGATGGACAGAAAATCTCTAGAAGCGATGCATGCAGTAGCATAATCTTTTAGTGTGCTTCATGAATGTAAACAAACAGTTATTTAATATTTAAATTATGAATATTTGTAGGCATCCCTGAAACGTTCCATCTTTGCTGGCATTTCAGTTTGTCCCTAAGCTTTGATGTAATCCTGTTTGGGTCCCTTCTTCTTTAAATAAAAATAGGAAGCCTCAAAATTAGTTTTTTGCTGATTTAAAACAAAACTGCATGTTTTTGAACCTCCAGAGGAACATAAAGACAGTAACAAAGTTGGCCTTTTATCGCCTAAAAATCTATAACTCTATAACTCGTTGATGCATTTGTCTTTAGTTGACTATATTACCGTAGCAGTGTCTCCACAGGTTTGCCTATAAAGACGATCAGAAAGCTGCAGCTGATCCAGAAAGCTGCTGCCTGCTTCCTCACTAAAGCTAAAAAAGTGGAGCACATCTTTCCAGTTCTAAAATCATTTCCCCCGGCTCCCTGTCGCAGATAACACACTTAAAAATCGAAAATAATTGAATTGCTTTAAAACAACACATTCTTGCTCAAAGCTACTCAGCAATCCCAGAACCAAACAAGGAGAAGCATATTTTAGTTCCTAAGCTGTTGAAGTAATAAAATCCTAAGCTGCTTTAAATCAAGTTGCCTTTAACTGTTCTAGTTAAACACCATGAATTTAAATTTGGAGTCCAGCGTTTCTTTACTTGCCTCTTTTTATGCCACCGCAGTGACCTTTTTTCTGTTTTCTTATGTTTTATTTGCAGCACTCTGAATTTTCTTGTTACTAAATTGTGCTCCAGACATTTGCAAATCCTTGAACCGGTATGAAACAACAAATATGTTTATAGGGATATAAAATGGTTTATATACTAGGATTCATAAGTGGATTCAGATATTATCCCCATCATCAGTTAGCTGGGTTTTCCACTGGCACTTCTTTATCTATAAATCCATTCCTGCTTTATTGCTTCTTACTTGTTATCTAAACAGCAGGTAGAGAATATGATCCCATGATGTCACGACTCTCTATGCTCCCTCTGGTTTGAACAGAGAACTGTTTTCTATGGAGGGAAGTTGATCTTATTGCTGCAGGCAGAGAGTCTGTTTTATAAATAGAAATTTGAGGGGAAAATGTTTTTATGCATTTTAATTAGAAATAGGTTTTTGCTGTTTTCTCAGATTTATTTTTTCAAATTATTTCATTTTCTCAAATGTCTCTTTTCAGATTCTGTTTTACGAATTGCAATATTTTCAAACTGCAGTTTACTGATTACGATCACTTCTATTCAAGCCTTCACTTGCCAAGTACCAATAAAAATGTTGTCATCCATGCCAACCAATAGAAATGCGTCTTTATCTCCTCTCTCCAGAGGAAAGCCCGCCCCTAGAATTCGAAGTGGGAAGTTTAATTTGAAAAGAATGCAATTTAAAAAAACTCAATCTGGCAAAGAGAAATTAAAAAAGAGGGAAAAAAGATAAGGTGTATAAAAAAAAATAGAATGTGAAAAATGTTTCAATCTTTTTTTTTTTTAGATACAATTTGAGAAAATATCTCAAAATTCATATCAAAATTTGCATTTCACTTACAGAGTGCATTTCTCCATATTTCCATTTATAAAACATGTTATTTTCTTGGTACAATAATGGAACAAAATTCCCTCTATATCCTAAACCACTTGAACAGGAACTGTCAGATTAAATTGATCTATCATCAAATTTCTTTTTCTCTTAAATTACTATTTTCTGATTTCTTTCCTTTTCCTCTCTTGTAAAACACCACCTCTGTAAACGTAGGTTTAGTTAATGCCATAGACTCGAATTTCCTTCATCAAGTCAATTTTAATAACTCACCGTCTTCCTTTCCAGGCCGACTCCTTCCAGAAAACATCCACACGGGTCGCCCGGAAATACTGGTGGAAGAACATTAAACTGATGATCATCATCGGCGTAATTGTGCTGATTATCCTGATACTGATAATCCTGGCTGCCACCAAAGTCATTTAACCCCTCCCCCTCCAAACCGCCACCAGACAATCATTTGCACACATGAATTTAAACAGCACGTGGTAATTCATGAAGATCCCCGACGATGCGAGAATGGGAACCATAACGTGCTGACATAAAACCAAAACACTCCACATTCAATGCAGATATATAAAAAAAAAATCACTTAATCCATGCTCAAAGAACGCAGACAAGTTCTTTTTGTTGCTTTTTTTATTTTTATTTTGATCATTTCAATGTCCAATAGATAACATGTACATAATGTATGTTTATTCATGTCAAACTGTAAGAATATTTGTATTATATGACTGATGATGAACACCATAAAGCAGGTAAACTGTGCTCTGGTCTCTGTTGATCTTTTTTTGAAACCAAAACTACTTTTTAGTCGGGAATACGTGAAGAGTGACAAGCAGCCTTGGAGAAATTTAAACACGGATCAAGAAAGAATGAGGAAGGTGAACAATGCTAAACCTCTGTAGCAAGCAAAACAAAAAAAAATACTTCAGTGAATACAGGAGAAATATACTGTAGGTCAAAGCAGTCTTCATATACTTTGATAAACTAGTCGAGTCTTTGCTGGATCATCTGTGTGGCTTCACCAGCGCACCGCAGCCTTTTAATCGCTCTGAAACCTGCAGGAAACAAACAGAAACAAGTCAGCTAAAGGTGAGCGCCCATCTGCAGACTTACTTAAAGAAAGATAGGAATCCCCTGTCTTTAATACCCTATATGATAAAAGCAGTAAGAATTACAAGCTGAGGAGAATTATTTTAACAGTTTACATCTTAAAAATGATAATAGAAAGAACAATTTTGCAATTAAGCTAGAAATCCAGAAGAGGAAGTCAAAAACCAAAATACTAAATGGAAAAAGCTTTCAGATTTATAAAAAATAAATAAATACACATTATAGAGAGCATTACATGCAAATTTCTGGAATTATGACATTTTGATTGAGTGTATGTATGTTTTTTTTATGTTTTTTAAAATCAGTGGATATAAGAAGAAGATGTGTTACAGGGAAATTAACAAAAAGAAAAAGAGGAGTCTTTTCCATCGCTGTCAGTAAAAAACCAAAAAAAAAAAACAGGAACAATACATTTACACAAATTAAAGCACTTTATCCCCCAACTCGGTAGAGTCCAAAAACGAACCAGCTTTAAGCTCATGGTCTACTAGCTAAATAAAGAAACAAGCATTTTAAATACATATATTAACATTAGGGAACTGGAAAATCCAGAGAAGTCTGTATGTATCCTTTGAAAAGCAAATTGTTATTTATTCATATGTATAATCATTACTTGTGGGGGAGTAAGGGCCTGTAAAAAAATGACAATTACATGTGTAGATTTTAACTTTTTACATTACAGTTTCAGAGAAATTAAAAAAGAGAGAGAAATTAAAAAAATGGAAAGAAAGACGACAAAAGCTGGACGTGTTCCCCTATTGTTTAGTTTAGAAATGCGGATACAGGATGTTGGAAGACCATACCAAACGGCAGCATTCGAGAGCGTATGCTTCTCATACCCGGTCCGCATTGAGCGGGCCCTGAGAGTATCTGGGAGTCAGCTCATGGCCTGCAAGGAAGCTCCGCTGGCAGGTACAAACAAGGTATGTCAGAGTTAGGACACAACACACTTTTTTCCTTTTTCTGTTTTTTTTTCTTTTCTGTTTCCTTTTGCACATCCTTTAACTTTGGCATCCATTTACTGTAGTAGTTTACCTGTTAACTTTACAGCTTAAAAAGAAAAACAACCAAAACACAAAGAGAAGATGTAACAACAAAAAAAGAGGCAGCAGAAGGCCGGCTGCTTTAAATTATCGCCACAAGCCTTTATGTTAACTACTGTAAAACACTTCAGAAAAACAAATTTACGTGAAAAAAATAACTTGCACCAATATTACAAAAAAAAAAAAGCTAATTCAAGTTGCTTTGTTATTTTTTTTACGTATATTGTTGGTGCTACATACCTAATAGGAGTTGAGGGTTTCCACTTTTAATACGGTTTGTAACTGTTGGTGTGACCACCACGCCGTGGTGACTTCCCATATCCACCAGATTGATCTGCAAGGCCAAAATTCACCCGTCAAACCATCGCAGCTTTCCAAAACGCAAAATGAAATACCGGACGGCTCTGCTGATACTCACTGTTGTAGTCGGTATATCCGTAATAATTGTTGTAACCAGAGTAATCATAGCCTCCATATCCACCATATCCTTGATTACCATACCCATAATTTCCATAATTCCCATATCCCGGATTCCAGTAGTTACCATAACCCTGGTTCCAGTTTTGGTTGGGACCTGCGGATGAATAAAAAAAAAAAAAAAGGTTTGTATGTCAGCCTGAATCTGTGCGTTTTTGAAGGTGCTTTGCTTTGCTGACGACTCGCCTGAATGCACTGCAAAAACGACCTAGATATAAGTAAAAAACTATTTTGCTAATGAGTATTTTTACATTTAGAATAAGACAGTTAGATAAAATGCACTTGAAATAAGACAATGCAGTTGTTTTTTTTCTTATTTTAACTGTACATTGCCATTTCATTGGCAAAGTGCCTCACTTACCTCCTCAATTTAAGAAAAAAATGCAAAAATTTTAAGAAAAAAATTACTTATTTAGATTTACATTTTTTGTAGTGTTTCCCCATCGGCGTGACTACATTTCTATTTTTCTAAACTTTCCTATGTTCATGTCTGTATGATATGAAATTTGAACTTTAAAAGCACCATTACTAATAGTTTTTATACTATTTTTTTAAATTAGAAAGTCTTCATTACAAGAATATTTTTACAAATATAGGAAATTGGTTTTGTGATCTATGATCACAAAGACAACCGAACATAAAGAAAGGAATTAGGGTCGCCACTTTCGACATGTTAATTTGGATTCATAAATTATGTCGATTTGTAAGGCCTTAAAAAAAGGTATGCAATTCATTTAGATTATTATTATTATTTTTTTTAATACTTAAAGGGGAACAGCATTTTTTTTTTTTACATTGGCTCCTTGATTTAACGTTATTACATCATGTTCTACTCACCCATATGAGTTTTGTGTCAGTTGGAGCCGTTCTGAAGATATTCCGTTAGGTTATATCCAAGTAACGTCTTCCTATGGGCAACGACTTGAAGGCACAAGCTAAACTGTTCAGAATTTATTCTTTATGGTACGCCAGCATTCATAACATGCAGGCGAATCACTATATTTTTTATATTTAGCTCTTTTAAAAACGGAGCGGCGCGTGTATGACGTCATCCACGTGCGCTGGCTACCGTTCATTCTTCCTGTCCGCTGAACTGCTGCTAGTTTTCCTCACATGCCTGGAAGATGTCTAGTGCTGCTACCACAGATGATCTCGCTCTCCAAATGGAATTGAACGATTCAGATTAGCTAGAATGAATAGAAGGGGTAGAGCGTAAACTCATATGGGTGAGTAGAACATGACGTAATAACATAAAATCAAGGGGCCAATGTAAAAAATAGGCGTTCCCCTTTAAGTCCTGAGCAGGGACCTTCGAATTCCCTGTTTCTGGCATAGCTGTAAATCAAGCAGAACACTGCAAAATCTGATATAAAAATAAGGAACAATTCCTTAAATTAAATATGTAATCAAAATGATCTGCCGTATTTTGCCCTTAAAATATGATAAGTAGATATTAAACACTCTGAATAAGATATTTTAAGCATAAATCATCTCCTGTACTGACCACTAGGGGGAGATGCATGCAACCATCAGCTCTAGTTCACCTCTTTTTTAAACTGAGAAACTTACCACCACCCCTCCCTCGGGCCCTGGATGAGTATCCTCCTCTTCCTCCCCAGTACTGCTGCTGCTGGTACTGCTCCTTAGACACGGCCACCTTTACTTCACACTGGAGGAGCCAATCAGACTTCCTTATTAGTGTCTTTAAAGCCACAGATACGTGGATATACAGAAGGATAAATAAAACAGACTGAACCTTGCTGAGCCCGATGTTGTGGTACTTTTTCTCCATGATCATCTTCACTGGTTCCTCCTCTTTGAACGTGATGAAGCAGAAGCCCCTTCTTTTGTTTGTTTTGGTCTCCATGGGAAGCTCAATGGACTCCACCTGATCATTTTTATAGCATGGATGTAACATTCAGTGGATTTAAGAAGAAAGACATTAACCCAGGAGCGCATTCATGGGGTAAGAAAACATACCTCTCCGAAGGCACCAAAATACTCTTGGACTTTCTCTTCGGGGGTGTCTGGGGACAGCCCACCGACAAAGATCTTCTTTACCGGCTCCTTGCTCTTCATGGCCTTTGCTTTTTTGGGATCAATCACCTTCCCGTTGAGCTTATGTTCCTTCTGTGAGGCAACCTTCACACAGAGGAAGCAGTTAGAGCGAAATAACAAAATGTCTGCAACTCTAATGCCAAATAAAGCTGGTAGAAATCCTATCTTTATCCCATATGCCTATTCACTTAGCTCATTACTGATTTGTTAAACTAAAACCTTTTATGTGTTTTGCCATAACCCACGGTATTAATTTTGGACATTGGGGACCACTGCCCATGCTGGTTTTCTGCCTGCAGACCCCCTCTGCAAAACACTCTCATACACTGCAAAACATGGAAATCTAAATAATTCATTTTTGCTTAAATTAGGTGCATTTCGTCTTGAGTTGAGGAGGTAAGTGAGACACTTTGCTAATGGAACAAGACAATTTACATTTAAAATAAGAAAAAAACAATTGCATTGTCTAATCTCAAGTGCATATTATCTAACTATCTTATTCTAGTGGTAAACATACCCATTCCATTTGCAAACCGTTTTATTTACCTACTCAAATGAAGGGTAAATACACTTAATCTAATAATTTTTTTTACCCATTTCTAGATGGTTTTTTGCAGTGTAGAGACATATCACACGGACATGATGGAAAAACGATCTAGAAATGAGTAAAAATGTCTTAAATTAAGTGTATATATCCTTAATTTGAGTAGATAAATGAGATAGTTTGCCAATGGAATGAGTATTTTTACTCTTAAAATAAGATAATTGGATAATATGCACTTAAAATAAGACAATGCAATTGTGTTTTCTTATTTTAAGTGTAAATTGTCTCGTTCGGTTGGCAAAAAGTCTCTTTTACCTCCTCAATCCAACAACAAATGCACTTATTTTAAGAAAAAATGACTTATCTAGATTGGGATTTTTTCCAGTGAATGATCTGCAAAAAATGAAAATCTGTATGAGTTATTTTTGCTTAAATTGAGTGAATTTTGTCTTGAATTGAGGAGATAAGGGAGACACCTTGCCAATGGAACAAGACAATTTACATTTAAAATAAGAAAAAAACAATTGCTTTGTCTTATTTCAAGTGAATATTATCTAATTGTCTTATTTTAGGAGTATAAATACTCATTCCATTGGCAAATCGTCTTATTTACCTACTAAAATTAAGGGTAAATACACTTATTTTAAGAAATTTTGTACTTATTTCTAGATGGTTTTTGCAGTGGCAGCTCTCTGCAGGAGTAACACATTGTTGAAAACTCATGAATGGCAAGATAAGGTTCAGAACCTTCTGAGCTTAAAGGCTGAGTGGATCTCCTCAGAATCAAAATCAGTTTTGCAGGAATAACTTGGAGGTATCAGAGGCTGGAAGGGAGGGCATGACTAGTCCCCCCATCTATGCTAACCAGTCACAGTCCACAGAGAGATGGACTGGACATGCTAGGCTCTCCCGTACATTGGAGACACCTCAGCCTTTCCACACAGAGATCATAGAAATCACAGGTCTGGCAAAGGTGGGGAAAAGTTTCCAGTAAATAATTCATTTCTTTTTATTATTTCTGATCATATTATGAGTTCTACTTTTGTGTAAAGCAAGGTAACAACAAGCTACTGGGGCCTGCATGTTAGATCACTTCATACTGACATGTTTTAAGATGATCTTTGTAAAGATAAACTTCATTTCAACAAGTGCTTGAAAATATAATGTTAATGTGTTTACTGATACACTGATTAGATATGATTGCTAAACTATGACAAAAACCTTTTTTAAGATAAGTATCCTCATGTTTGCTAGCTACTTGCTCCACTGTCTTCAGGAACCAAACCTTAGCTTTTCCTTCAGGAATAATCACAGAAGTTTACAAGTCATTATATAAAGAAATATTGTTTTCTGATCTATGCAAATAATTCCATGAAATATTATTTTACCAAATAATTTTGTATTTACTTCTTGAATTTACTCTGTAAAATGGTTTGACCATATTTAAATTATTTTATATCCGTGTAAAGCTAATTTGACCTCATTCCAAACTCTTCAAATCCATGCCAAACTGTGATATCGATGCATCATTTCATTTATGGTTTTCAACCATTTTAATTCCTTCTTCTTTGTCTACATACCAAAAAAAGAAATTAAAAACAATGCAGTAGACTTTTTTTTTCAAGTTTGAAGACATTTTGCTTCCCATCCAGGAAGCTTTTTCTATTCAGTTGAATTAAAAAAGCTTCTTGGATGGGAAGCTAAACGTCTTCAAACTTGAAAACAAAGTCCAGTGGATTGTTTTTAATTTTTCTTTTATGGTATAACTATGACTGAGAATCTCCACCAGCACTTGTCTACATAGTAGCTATTTTGTTTAGTTTCACTGCTTTAGTCCAAAGTTTTAACTTAAATATGATTAATTTGGAGCTGAATTATTGTTGTTAAGAAATTCTTTTATTTTGAGAGCAAGTTGAGAATTTCTTCCATATGTTTGCAGAGATAACTGTTTGACAATGATTTGAGCTTGACTCACACTTTCAATTGTTGTCTGAAAGCACAACCAGTTTGACTTGTTCAGAGAAAAACATGACAGTCTGAAAGTTATTTGATTAACATGAGTAACAATATCATTAATAATACAGCAAGAGGAATGGCAGGACGAGCTGCTCTAAACCAAAGTGTCCTAACGGAAAAGGCTGATTTATGCTCAGAAACCAGGTCGTCATTGTGTGTCGCAGTGAATGCAGATATGCCTCCGCCCCTTCCGCAGACACTCTGCTGCACCTCTCTGAAACTGTAGGTGACCGCAGACAGAAGGCTTCTTATTGGTCAAATCTACATCCGCTCTACACTATGCGTATTTCCTGTTTGGTATCTTACCGGCTTGTGAACAAGTCCTGAAGATGGACCAGCTAGAAGAGCGAGGTGCACAAGAACGCTGGGAACCATTATCCACCTGGATCCCCGCTATTTTTCACCCTTGTGTCCCTCCGTTTTCGCACAAACTTGCCCCCACTTCCTCACCGCCTCGGCCGTATCTACACCCACAGCTAGTTCCTGATTGTCCCTCTTGCGTTGTGGCGTGGAATAACATAGCGCAGACCACGCTTCAATATTGGGCATAAATCAAAAATATCTGCGACAAGCTCACAGCGACACCTGTTGCGGGGAGTATAACCAGAACTTCAGCCTCCTAATCACTAAAGGCCGATTTATGCTTCTGACGCATAGCCTCTGCAACCATCGAATCTGTCTCTGCGTTCCTCAAAAAAAAAAATCCCGACTACACATCGGACGTTCGCAAACCCGCGCAGACCTCAAGCGGAAGTGTGAAGACAAAAAGCAGCTATGATTGGTCCTTGGTATTCCTTTCCAGCTGTCTGTGTGGTCGTTCCTCTGGATTCGGTGCCGGGGCACGCCAATTTTAAAAGCCGAGGAGTAATAACAGCAACGGATAACCATGACGAAAGGTTGATCGAGGAGGTTAGGAAGTAAAACCACCTGTGCGATGCCTCAGACATACCTACATGGTTTTAGAAAATAAACACTCCCGCCTGCGCCGCCGAAGAAGTTCTTGTGACCATCCGCTGAAGTTCTTGCGAGTTCTCCAATAGGCTCCCCCTTGCGCTTTGGCGGGAAACTGCTATGCGTCCCTAGAAATTCCAGACTGACGGTGCAGAAGCATAACAGCAAAACTGATTTGTGACCAGACCTCTGCGACATTCGATGTGTCCGTTTGCAGAAGTATAATCCACCCTTCAGTAAACAGTTTCCAAACTAACCCTAACGTAAATATTCTGCTTGACAATTGGATATGATTATGGACCTTTAAATAAAAGCAGAACCTCTAGCAGCGGAGGAATACCTTTTCAACACTTTCTGGATCTTTGAAGAGCACAAAGCCAAAGCCCCTTGAACGGCCGGTCATAGGGTCCAGCTTTAGCGTGCAGTCTACCACCTCCCCAAACTTGGAGAAGTAATCTTTCAGATCCTTTTTGGTCGTGTCCCAGCTCAGCCCTCCGACAAACATCTTCCTGAGAATAAAAAAAGGGATGCACAATTTATTATCACAGTGTTAATAATTTATTTTCATTTATAACAGACTCCAGATTCCGAGTGCCATGCAGGGAAACTTGATATGTAAATATTTTCTACTGACTGAGACAGTTAAGATGCTATACTGACAACAAATGGAGACGTGATTTAGATGTGATTTAAGAAAAAAGGAAAGGAGTCTAGAAAATTATTATTGAAAATCTATGCTTCCTTTTTTATCAAAGTATTTTACATTTTACATTGTTTAAAACCGAAAAACATGTTTTATAGGTTGCAAACCCTGGGCCAAGAACGCTGCATTAAATAACAAGAAGTTTGTTGTTTTAATTAGGAAAAATATGACAAGACTATGAATAATGTAGCAAGGTATTATAAAATACCGTGGTGACGTTTTAACAGTGGCGGTTCTAGTTTACCAAGGGAGGCCAGGGTGGGGCCGTCATTTTTAAACGGGACACAAAACAAAATTAGTGTTAATAAAAAACCTGGTTGTATCTTAATATGGCTGAAGTTTTAAGGTGATTGCATTTTCTAAAAGTTAATTGTAAAGTTGAATGATTAAATTGGTCGACATCAATTATCATCAGTTACATGCCGCAAAAATGGTCCATCTAATCAGGGTCTCATATGAAGATTGATACTAAGCAAGAGAAGATTTGTTTTGAGAGGATTCTCCTTAAAGTGCAATAATCTGCTAATGCAGTGATGCAAATACACTGAGCAAGACTTATTGAAATCATGATAGTCTCTTAATAAAAAGTCTATAAATCTCAAAACAAGATCCAAGATTTGAGTGCAGTAAATTCTGTCCATGGATTTAATCATATGACTTATTTTTTTATGAGACAGCAAAAAGTGATCTAAAATGTAAAATCATCTTAAAATTAGCAGATAAATAATATGATTGCCAAAGAAAATTTTATTTTCCCGCAAAATAAGATACTTACATGTAAACTACTTGAAAGAAGAGGATTGATTTTTATTTAGTTTTAATTGAAATCATCTTATTACATTAGTAAATTGTATTACCTACTGGCTTTGAGGCAAAATACAGCCTTTTTCAAGAAAATGTACTTATGTGTCATTTTTTTGTGGTGTATGTTTTAAGTGCAGGGGCCAGGATCAGTTCTCCAGGGGCGCTGGCCCCTGTTGGTCCCTGCCTAGAACCGCCTATGCGTTTTAATGACAGCTGTTCAGGAGGCGGGTTTGGTAAATTGATTTTTTTTTTTTTTTTTACTGACCTAAACATGAGTATTATAGCATCAGCAGCATTGATAAATATAACAGTTCTCCTACCAAACATATTAAGCAAATCTATTGCAAATCTAAACTCTGTGATGCAACTGAACTGCTCTCTACAGAAGAGGATTAGGGCCACTGAAAAAAAAAAAAATAGTTAAGTGAATTTTAAATATTGTTTCAGTTTAATAAGGGAAATATGACTTTAATCTCAGAATTCTGACTGAATTGTTGACAGCTAACAAACATGTCAGCATTAAGCCGTAGCCATGTCTGTTTTAAAGACTAAACTAGCTCTCTTTTTTTCACCTTCTGCTCTTCCATGAATGGAATAGCATCACCAGGGACCCCCAGGAATGTAAAAAGTCGCCTAATTGCATCATTTTCCACCAATGTGTTACTGGCCCTCCCAAACAACTCACATCTTTGT